TTTTCTCCTAGCTTATAATTATTGTCCCAAATCAAGTATCATTTTCTCAGGAAAATATTCCCTGAACCCCAAGACTAGTTAGCTCTTATGCTAGATATCCCATGGCACCTTTTACTTTTTTTTTTTAAACTTTTGTTTAATGACTATACATTTCCAAAGTACAGCTTATGGATTACAATGGCTTTTCCCCCACCAATGACTTCCCTCCCACCCGCAACCCTCCCCTTTCCCGCTCTCTCTCCCCTTCCATTCACATCAAGATTCATTTTCAATTCTCTTTATATACAGAAGATCAGTTTAGTGTGCATTAAGTAAAGATTTCAACAGTTTGCACCCACATAGAAACACAAAGTGAAATATACTGTTTGAGTACTCGTTATAGCATTAAATCACAATGTACCGCACATTAAGGACAGAGATCCTACATGAGGAGTAAGTACATAGTGACTCCTGTTGTTGACTTAACAAATTGACACTCCTGTTTATGGCATCAGTAATCTCCCTATGCTCCAGTCATGAGCTGCCAAGGCTATGGAAGCCTTTTGAGTTCACCGACTCTTATCTTATTTAGACAAGGTCATAGTCAAAGTGGAAGTTCTCTCCTCCCTTCAGAGAAAGGTACCTCCTTCTTTGAAGACCTGTTCTTTCCACTGGGATCTCATTTACAGAGATCTTTCATTTAGTTTTTTTTTTTCCCAGAGTGTCTTGGCTTTCCATGCCTAAAATACAATTTAATACTTTATCCCTTTTAGTATTTTTTTTTGTTCTACTTAATCCTATTGGTTGAACTCTGTAATTAACACACAATTATTATTAGGTGTTTAAATTTTAACTGAAAAGTGATCCCTGTTAAATAAAAGAGTGGGAATAAGAGAGGGAGGAGATGTACAATTTGGGACATGCTCAATCGAACTTGCCCCAAATGGTGGAGTTAGAAATGTGCCAGGGGATTCCAATACAATCCCATCAAGGTTGCATTTACCAATACAATCTTACTAGTCCAAGTGATCAATTTCAGTTCACAATTGATCATACTGATAGGTCCAAGAGTCAAAGGAATCACATAAATAAGACTAGTGTCTGCTAATACTAACTGATAGAATAAAAAAGGGAGAGAATGATCCAATATGGGAAGCGGGATACACAGCAGACTCATAGAATGGCAGATGTCCTAAATAGCACTCTGGCCTCAGAATCAGCCCTTAAGGCTGAAGAGCCCATGAGAGTATTTTTTTTAATTTTTATTTATTTTTTATTTTTAGACTTTAATAAATATAAATTTCAAAAGTATAACTTTTGGATTATAGTGGCTTTTCCCCTCAAAACCTCCCTCCCACTCATAACCGTCCCATCTCCCACTCCCACTTCCATCCCATATTTCATCAAGATTCATTTTCTTTTTTTTTTAAATTTAATTTAATTTTTTTTTGACAGGCAGAGTGGACAGTGAGAGAGAGAGACAGAGAGAAAGGTCTTCCTTTAGCTGTTGGTTCACCCTCCAATGGCCGCCACGGCTGGCGCGCTGCTGCCGGCACACTGCGCTGATCTGATGGCAGGAGCCAGGTACTTATCCTGGTCTCCCATGGGGTGCAGAGCCCAAGTACTTGGGCCATCCTCCACTGCACTCCCTGGCCACAGCAGAGAGCTGGCCTGGAGAGGGGCAACTGGGACAGAGTCCGGCGCCCTGACCGGGACTAGAACCTGGTGTGCCGGCGCCGCAAGGCAGAGGATTAGCCTAGTGAGCTGCGAGCTGGCCTTCAAGATTCATTTTCAATTATCTTTATATACAGTAGATAAACTTGGTATGTACTAAGATTTTTAACAGTTTGCATCCACACAGATGCACCAAGTATAAAGTACTGTGAGTACTGGTTTTACCGTTAATTCGCGTAGTAGAACACGTTAAGGACAGAGATCCTACATGGGGAGCAAGTGCACAGTGACTCCCGTTGTTTACTTAACAAATTGACACTCTTATTTATGATGTCAGTAATCACCTGAGTCTCTTGTCATGAGCTGTCAAGGCTATGGAAGCCTCTTGATTTCACAAACTCTGACCTTATTTAGACAAGGCCATAATCAAAGTGGAAGTTTTCTCCTCCCTTCAGAGAAAGGTACCTCTTTCTTTGATGGCCCGTTCTTTCCACTGGGATCTCACTCACAGAGATCTTTTATTTAGGTGGTTTTTTTTTTTTTTTTTTGCCACAGTGTCTTGGCTTTCCATGCTTGAGAAACTTTCATGGGCTTTTTAGCCAGATCTGAATGCCTTAAGGAATGATTCTGAGGCCAGAGTGCTGTTTAGGATTCCTCCATGTTAATAGGTGTACATCCTTTCCCAGCTGGTGTTCTACATGATGTTTATTGTTAAGAAGTGCAACAGCATGGACTTTGCTTATCGCTTTCCACTTACCACAATTAAGCAGGTCCATAAAGAAGCCTTCACATGCAATGAAGACAACATTCTTTCCTTCAGTCTGAGAAATGTAGTAATCTCCAATGTAAACCACATGTTCTTTAGGGTTTTTGGTGCCTCCTCCTCCTCACTGGGGAGAATGCATGAGATAAAATTTCTCTGCCTGAACCATTTTTTTCAGGAAGAGGACTCATTATTTTGTGTTAAAAGGGCTTTCCATTCTTTATGTCATTATGTCCACAGAATTTTCATTGGAGTTTGATACAATTACATCATATTTTGCCTACAATATTATTTGAAAACCTGATATCTTACTTCCATATTGTAGACCATGATGTATTATTGTTGCCTGCTGACTCCACTGACCAGCTCAAAAGACCCATTGGGCTTTTTAGGAGGATGAAAATAGCAGAATGATAATTTGGCAATGTACTATCATTTGTGTAAAAGTAGTTTTTTGTTCATTATCAGCCTGGGGTGGGTTATATACTTTTTGTAATTTGCACGTTTTCGTCGAAACCCCAGAAATGTATCAGATGGCCAAGACTCTCTAGCATTTGCTATTTTTCCCAGGTACATTTTTATTAGAAAGACAAAAGGCCTTTGTGTATCAATTCACATTTTTCATTGAGTCACTTTTAAGTTCTAGTCAGTAAGTCAGATTGTTCAGTAAATCTTTGGAAGCTTAGATCCTGAGATTTTGGTAATCATGGAGAAAAAAAAAATTTCAGTTTGCTAAATTCTTCCTCTAGGAAATCATGCTAATTAAGCCATTTAAGGAGCCCTTTTAATCAAACTTTGAACCTATAGTAAAAACTTTAAATTGGGGTAGGCGTTGTGGCATAAGTGGTGGGTTGAGTTACTGCCTGCAACAACCTGTTCGTGTGCTGCCTACTCCACTTTCAATCCTGCTCCCTCCTAATGAATCTGGGAAAGCAGCAGCAGATGGCCCAAGTGCTTGGACCCCTACACCCACATAGGAGACCTGGATGGAATTCTGGACTCCTGGCTTCAATCTGGCCTAGCCCTGGCCATTGCCACCATTTGGGGAGTGAACCAGCAGATGGAAGATCTCTTTCTCTCTCTGTTTTCTCCTCTCTCTCTCTCTGTAACTCTGCCTTTCAAATAAATAAATCTTTTTTTTTTTTTAATTTGACAGTGAGAGAGAGAGAGACAGAGAGAAAGGTCTTCCTTCCATTGGTTCACCCCCAAATGGCCACTACGGCCGAAACTACGCCAATCCGAAGCCAGGAGCCAGGAGTCTCTTACTGGTCTCCCATGTGGGTGCAGGGCCCAAGCACTTGGGCCATTCTCCACTGCCTTCCTGGGCCACAGCAGAGAGCTGGACTGGAAGAGCAGCAACCCGGACTAGAACCCGGCGCCCATATGGGATGCCTGTGCCTCAGGTGGAGGACCAACCAAGTGAGCCATGGTGCTGGCCCCAAAATAAATCTTTAAAAACAACTTGAACTCAAAATAATTATGCACAGTTGTGAGAAACTGAATATAACAAGTCACAGCTACCAGACCATATAAAAACACAGAACTTTGACCTATACCCTATAGCAACCTCCCCAGGAAGCCACCCACTTCTCTGTAATAAACCACACAAGAATTCAGTATGGCATGTGCAGGAAGCCACATTTCTATCTCTACTGACAATCCAGGAAGCAAACCAATAATTTCTTTCCGAACTGGCCCCACATGGCCAGCTTGTTTAATTTTTGCCAGCACTTCCAACTTGGGAACAGTCCAAGAAAGACAAGTACTTGTATGTACCTCTAGCTAATCACATGAGATACTGACAGCCTCCATGTTTTAACTACTCATCAGCCAAATCTGAACTCTTCTCTTCTTCCACTGTAAAACTTTCTCAATCCTCTGACTTTCCTTGAGTCTCTGTCAGAACTGAAATGATAATTCAGTATAATTATATAAAGTACCAGATACTGAATTAAGACAGGGCTAGTCCATTAAGTACCATAAATGTTAGTTGAATGAATGCTAAGTTTTAGCCACCTACTTTTTGTCATCATCTTAGCATATTATGTTTCAATCAAGGTCTAGTCTTTTTTTTCACCTAGGTATTTAAAAAGGAAGAACTTTAATTTTAAAATGAGATCCTTTTTATTAGGAGGATACTTTCTCTTTGCTGACCTAAATTTATTTCTGTTCCAATGCTAAACTGCTAGCCTATTATTATAAGGTGATCATGCAAACTTAATGTTTTTGAATTTGAGGAAGCCCCTTGAGGACAAACATATAGGACAGGCTGTGAGACCATCAATATTGCAAATGGTAACGTTTCATTCTATTCTAGGGCCACCTAGGGAGGTCGAGTGAACTAGAGTTTTCTTAACGTTCTCTCCTCATAATTTTTGCCGACCTAGTCTTCGAAATAAATACACCTTTTAGGAATCTAGGCTAAAATCGAGCACCCAGCTTCACTTCTCCAGAAACGCAGAAATCAAACAAAGACTGCCACCAAATAATACACAGACGGTGGCAGCGAGCAGAGAAAACAAGTCCCAGGAAGTGATTTCCGGGTGGAGGTGGGAGGGGCAGCTGATTTCCGGTCTGAGGGCCGGCGATGGCTCTTGCGCAAGCGTAGCTCGTACTTCCCTGTTTTTTTTTTTTTTTCTTTTTTTTTCTTCCCCTCTCCCTTTCCCCCTCCTTCCCCCAAGCCTGAGGGGTCTTGAGGTGACAGCGCCTGCAACCGGGAGTCCAGAAGCTGGAGAAAAAGATGGACAAGAGGAAGCTCGGGCGACGGCGATCTTCATCCGGTGAGGAAGGGTTAGAGGAGGACTGATCTGCTTGTCTCCTACCTGGCTGGGCAAATGGGAGGCGCAGGCGGCGACAGGCGTTGCGGCCCAGGGCGGGGAGGGGAGGGGACGGAGAAGGAGGGGCGCGCACAATGGAAGGCCTCTGGGTCGCCCCCGCCCCCCGAACCGAAAACCCAGTCCGAGCTGTCATCGAAACCTCAGCTGTTTTTCACCTCGACAGCCCTTTCATTTTCCCCTCTGGCAAACGCTGAGCGCCCTGGGCCCACGGCTCTCTCCGGTTGGCTTGCCCCTCTCCTGCCACGCCTTCCCGTTATTCCACCGACGTTCGGGTTTCAGCGCCAGCTCCGCGGCTGACCCCACTCCCCTCTATTGCCTGGCTTCCCTCTGGGCCTCCCTGCCCCCACCCGGGGCAGGTAGAAGCCGCTGCACGGACGAAAGGCGGGGCTTGCTAATTGACACTTCGTTCGGTCGAGAAATGCCTCCCTCTCTCCTTCGGAACGCGCCCGCACCGTAGCCTTTTTCTTTTTCTTTCTTTTTTGCTTTTCCAGCTTTGTCCTGCATTTTCCAAAAGTGATTGAGAGTCGAACAAAGGACTTGAAGCCGTGCTTTCGTTGTCTTGTTATTCTGAAACATAGTTTTGTCTTCGAAATTGCTTTAAGGTTTAAATGATGGTGTTGAGCTTCTTGTAGTGTGTATGTCTCGATGGCACAAAATGGAATTATAAGATGTGAGATAGAGTTCCTCCCGGGCAACAAGTTTTGTCAAACATTTCATCCACCAAGGTCTCTCAAGCCTTTAGCTTAAGCCCTTCAGACGGGCGAGGAGAGGACCAGGACTCTAATGAGCTTGCCATCCAGTACACAAGCTAACATCTGATGAAACAGTTTTTAATTGTGCTACTTATTTTTGTAGAAGCAGTGCTAACAGTTTCAGATTTATTAAGGAGTGCCCTCTGAAAGTGAATCTCGAACGTTTTTTTGGTTGTTTGGTTTTCACTGCAAGGGATTTAAAAAAAAAAAAGGCAACAGAGACATATTCTCTAACAGTTGAATGGAATAATGAAGTATGTGGGAGCAAGCGAGAATCACCATTAAAAATGCTTAAAAGCAGAAGTACAACAGATATGCAAGTATTAGACTTATAGACTAGAAATTTCAATAAAGTTTTGAATTAAAACAGGAAAGTTCTGGGGCTGGAATTGTGACATGGCATGTTAAGCTGCCACATGCAATGCCTGAGATTGCTGGTTGCTCAACGTCCTATCCAGCTTTCTGCTAATATGCCTGGAAATGCCCTTGAGGTGGGCCCAAGTCCCTGCCTTCATGTGAGAGACCTGGATGAAGCTCCTGGCTTCAGCCTGGCTGAGCCCTGGTCATTCTGGCCATTTGGGGAATGAACCAGCTGATGGAAGAGTCTCTCTCTCTCTCTCTCTCTCTGCCTCTCCCTCTCTCCCTTTCTGTCTGTAATTCTGCCTTTCAAATAAATGAATAGATCTTAAAAAAAACAAATAGAAACGTTTTGGGACTATTGTGACTCAGTGGGTTAACTGCCACTTGGGATGCTGGCATTTCATATTGGAGTGCCAGTTGGAGTCCTGACTGCTCTGCTTCTGAACCAGCTTCCTGCTTGTGTGCCTGGGGAGTCAGTGGGAGATGGCCAAGGTGGCCTGTGCCACCCAAATGGGAGACCAGGATGGAATTTCTGGGTCCTGGCTTCTGAATGGCTCAGGACTGGCTGTTGTGGCCATTTGGGCAGTAAACCAGTAGATGAAAGATCTCTTTCTCTGATTCTCCCTCTCTGCCTTTCTAAATAAATATATTTTAAAAGATTTTATTTTTATTTTATTTATTTGTAAGAGTTACAGGGATAGGTAGAGAAACAGAGAGGTTTTCCATTGCTGCTTCACTCCCCAAACGTCTGCAACAGCTAGAGCTGAGCCGATCTGCAGCCAGGAGCTTCTTCTGGGTCTCCCATGTGGGTGCAGGGGCCCAAGGACTTGGTCCATCCACTGCTGCTTTTCCAGGCACATTAGCAGGGAGCTGGATTGGAAGTGGAACAGCCGAGACTCAAACTGGCGCCCGTATGGGATGCTGGCACTGCAGGCTGGGGCGTTAACCCACTGTGCTACAGCACTGGCCGCTCAAATACATAAATCTTAAAAACAAAAAGGAAGATTCTGGGGCAGGTGTTATAGTGCAAGTGGTTAAGCTGCTACTTGGGATACCCAGATCATGTACTGGAGTGCATGTTCTAGTCCTGGCTACTCTGCTTCCTATCCAGCTCTTTGTAAATGGTCCAGTGTAAATGGTCCAGGATGCAGTAGATGATGGCTCAAGTACATGAGTTCCTGCCACCCATGTGGGAGACCTGGATTGACTTTCTGGCTCAGGGCTTCAGCCTGCCATAGCCCCATCTGTTGTGGTCGTTAAGGAAGAATGAAACAACAGATGAAAGGTTTCTTTCTGTCTCTCTGTCTCTCTCGCACTTGGCTGTTCAAATAAATAATAAATAAATCTTAAAAAAAAAAACCAGGAAAGTTAAATTAATTTGCAGGTTTTCAACTGATTGATTATTCCTGGAACACCCTTAGAGATCTGTGTCACTCTCATTTGCAGTTAAGAATATATATATTTTTTAAGCAGGTGGTTAGGTACAGTGCTAAGAACTTTATAAACTAATTCTTTCAAAAGCTTTTTAAGGTGATTATTTATGCTTTACAGGTGAGGAAACAGAGATTTAGAGAGGATAACTGTTAACTATAACTATTAAGAAACAGGATTCAAAAATCTGGTCTGATTACATAATCTATAGTTTAAACTATTTACTGCAGTGGAGTGGAGGTAAGGGAAAGGATTTCATGGAAATGAGTGTAATGACTATAGGTAGAAAATTTGTTTTGCTGCTAGATTTTCAGAGCATTTTATGTGCTGTTGCACATTATGCTTCTTCAAGAGAATGGCTGAGCTTGCAGGGTTTTTATTTTCTTTTTCTTTAAGAAAATATTATTTTATTTGAAAGGCAGAGCAACAGAGAGTAGAGGGAGGGAGGGGGAAAGGGAGTAGGAGGGAGGGAGGGAGTGAGGGAGAGAGAGAAAGAGAGAAAGAGAGAAAGAAAGAGAAAGTATCTTCCATCCACTGGTTCATTCCCCAAATGACTGCATCAGGAACACCACTCCCTTGAGGGTGCAGAAACCCAAATACCTAGACCATCACCTGCTGCATTCCCAGGCACAGTAGAATGGAGGTGTATTTGAAGCAGAGCAGCCATGACTTGAACTAGCACTCTGATACGGGATGCTGGCATCACAAGCAGCAGCTTAACTCACTGTGCCACAACACAAACCCCTCCGTGTTTTTAAAACTTGATTTTGAATATCTCTCCTCTCCCCAGTTTCATCTTTGAGGTACTAGTGTTCTGTGTTGATATACCTTGTGTTCTTGTTATACAAGTTTGAGTAGGTCCAGAGGATGGATGCTTGCTTTGCATTGGAATTAAAATGAGTCATAATTGAAGTTCAAAATGAGAACCTACAATTAATCATGATACAGCTATATTACTTGTAGAAATGTTAGCTGAATCCATTGGAATGAATGGAATTACCCACAAAAATAGCAGAGTGAGAAGTCTTGAATCACATGATGAATTTCAAAGTAGGGAGAGCATGACATTGGTATGCAGTTAGGCAGTGACAGGTTTAGTGGAGGAGGATGAAAAAGAATACTAACATTGTTTCAGAGAGTTAAAGTAGTATGAGGGTACTGAATTTGGCAATTAGGAGACCAGTTTTACTACTGGTAAAAGCAGAATACAAGATCCAGATTTCAAGAGGCTAAATGAATGGGTGGTGATGAGGAAATAGCAAAAGTAAGCTGAGAAAATTGGATGGAAGAGGAAGTCTTGGTTAAAACAAGTATGCATTTTTAGTAGTGGCAGGTTTTTTTTTGACAGGCAGAGTGGACAGTGAGAGAGAGAGAGAGAGAAAGGTCTTCCTTTTCCGATGGTTTACCCCCCAATGGCCGCTGATGCTGGTGCACCGCGCTGATCCGAAGCCAGGAGCCAGGTGCTTCCTCCCGGTCTCCCATGCAGGTGCAGGGCCCAAGCACTTGGGCCATCCTCCACTGCCTTCCTGGGCCACAGCAGACAGCTGGACTGGAAGAGAAGCAACCGGGACATAATCCGGTACCCTGACTGGGACTAGAACCCCGGGGTGCTGGCACCACAGGTGGAGGATTAGCCTAGTGAGCTGCGGTGCCAGCCAGGCAGTTGTTAAAACTATGTGACTTTCCTCAGTGGTACTAAGCAATATTGGAGCAAGAATATGGAAACAAAAACTGTGTTTAGTTTTACTTAGTTACATAGCATTAAAAGATGTGACAAAATGTGGGGGCAAAGAGAATTTGGTGGGAGTGAGGGAGTTTGAAGTATCGAAGACAGTATGTTGTAGAATGACAGGTTCGTATTTGAGAACTTGAGAAATGAAATAGTTTTTCTTAATTTCATTTGTAAATGCATATTACTGAAATGGGAATGTGTAGAATAAGTTTGTTGGAATAAAGATTATTCCATTGTTTTGAGTGAGTTGATTGATGCCATTTTAGTGCTTTAGAATAATTTTTTATTGCTGAGAGGAAAAATTTTTTTAAAAAGATTTATTTATTTACTGGAAAGTCAGAGTTACACACAGAGAGAAGGAGAGGCAGAGAGAGAGAGAGAAAAAGAGAGAGAGAGAGAGAGAGAGGTCTTCCATCCAGTGGTTCACTCCCCAGTTGGCTGCAACGGCCAGAGCTGTGCCAATCTGAAGCCAGGAGCCAGGAGCCAGGAGCTACTTTGGGATCTCCCATGCGGACTTGGGCCATCTTCTACTGCTTTCCCTGGCCATAGCAGAGAGCTAGATGGAAAGTGGAGCAGCCTGGAGTTGAACAGGCCACCCATATGTAATGTCAGCACTGCAAGCGGCGGCTTTACTTGCTACGCCACAGTGCCTGCCCCAGGAAAACTTT